CATTGAAAAAATGATCAGATATGGGGAAAATACATAGATTACCACATCTGTGGTGGGTGAGGGAGTGAGGGATATTCACGGTCAATGTTTACACTTTAAAATTTGAATCATACAGGACTGGGGGCCCGTCCCACCCGGTTTGAAGAAAATCAATTCCACGTTCACTAACTTGACAAGAATGATTAGGTATATTTGATGACAAGAATCACTATATTGTGCATAATGCAGTTCAATTAGTGCTAGGAGAATAAATATGAGATCAGATGATAGCTTACCGTTCGAAATATGAAACTATCCGTAAGTATTTTGTTTCCTATCACAAGTTACCGCCTTATTATTGCAATGCCTTGCGAAGGTTCGTGTTCGTCCACCTACGATACAGAATATCAACAGAAAGGTTATTTTCACAGCCCAAACTTGCAAATTATGTAGGAAAAAGAGCCACTCCAATATACCTACGAAACTCAGTTCGGTTAGCGACTCCGCGCTTTTTCCGCCAATATCCTTCGGGATATAAACTTTTCGGATCTATCTCACGACTTCGACGACAATAATATGCCGTTTATTATACTTTGGGCAGAAGAAAAGATGAAAAGTTAACTGTACCACAAACAGATTGTGAAATTTTAAAAGTTGTTTTGACAATTGCTCATAGATGATAGACGGATCGTCTACTCCCAAACATGTGTCTATGATTTGTTTCCCACTTCAACTGAAGGCAAAGGCCACAGTCAAACAGACAGCCGCCGCATTCGAGACGAACCGAAGAATAAACTCAAAACTATATACCTACGCTCGCCGTAAGCTGAGGAAAAGGGAATACCTACCCAAATCAGCGAGGAAATTCAATTTCGAGTAAAATTCAAAATCGATTAAAAACAGCACCCGATAAGGAGGACTCAAATCGATCTGGGAAAGACTATTCAAAATTCAACAACTGTCAAACTCCATCCATTCATCCACGCGCCCCCACAGAGATTCACCGCCTGATAACTTTTTTTTTTTTTTTTTTTTTTTTTTTATAAGTCTCAAGGCGAATATTTTAGTCGAATAGGAAAATCGACTCTTCCCTCAAGGCTACCAACCCAATCAATGAAGTTTGACAGCTACGCTGACGTAAGCGGTTCGCTATCATAGACAAAACAGCTGTCCTACGTGTGTCAGTGTCACGCTCTGTTTAAAAACAAACACTACAGGCTAAAGAAGTATAACTTCAAAAACTCTTCTAAAAGGCAAGCGTGATAAATATTAATGACTAGCTGACCCAGCGAACTTCGTATCGTCATAAAAATATGGGTGGTACAGGGGTGAAAATTAAGGGTTGTTTGTGTTTTTAATATTACGATACATATTTAAAGTAGTTTTTTTCTTCTTCAGACGATTTAATAATTATTTTGAACACAAAATCGGTTATTGTGATTAAACTATGATTGCTAGATATATGTTCTCGCGGACTTTTTTGTATCTTAATGGGATCTACAAACCCGTAGTACATCATTTTGTTCTATTGTCAATAGTTTTTGCAGCGCACGCAAAAATAGGTTTTCGATTTTACACCTTATGTTACAAAATAGCAATTTAATTAGGGATCCCTAATTTTGAAAAAAAAAAAAATATAGCTTATAGCCTTCCTCGATAAATGGACTACCCAACACTGAAAGAATCATTCAAATCGGACCAGTAGTTCCAGAGATTAGCGCGTTCAAACAAACAAACAAACAAACTCTGCAGCTTTATAATATCTTTATATATATAATTCTTCTGTGAGTGTGTATGTCACTGAACTTCTCTTTAACGACTGGACCGATTTTGATGAAATTTTTTGTGTGTGTTCAAGGGGATTTGAGAATGGTTTAGATTCTCAATTTTGTCCGCTGGACAACCCCTATTTTTTTAGGGCGGTACGAAGTTCGCTGGGTCAGCTAGTTAAGTATAGATTCGTAGGGGTCCCTGCGACTTCGAATTCTTTTTACCCGGCTGCGCAATGCAAGAGCGCGAAGCGCGACGCGCAGACAGGGTTATGTGTTTAACAGTCTATATATGTATGTTTGTTCCTTTGTGGCACACTAGAGACCAAACCCCTGGACCGATTTTGATGATTCATACATCAATCGATTCGTCTCAATCATGGGAGTGCTACTAAAGATATGATAGTAATCAAAATTCAGTATGGGCAAAATTAGGCGCCATATTGTGACGAAGTAAAAAAAATAAGTTGACAAAATATGTCGAATGGGGTATCACTGTCTAGATAATCAAAAATCATATTTAGGTTTCTAACACCATTTTTCATTTTATATGATTGTTTAGGAGCTACAACGCTTTAAAGTTGTATATTAACCACTTACGCTTTTAATTTCAATCTTACGTTTGTATGGATTTTTGTTGCTCTTTCACCTAAAAAATACTGAATGGATTTTAATGAAACTTAACAGTTATATAGCTCATATATGATAATTACAAATATATAATAATTTATGTAGTTATTGAGGGAATTGGCCAATATATAACAATAAGTGTCACATAAGACGGAAAAAAATCTCCCATTTGCGAGCCATTTTGGCCTGCACTGCAAAAACAATAAAAGTTACATGAATGTAATGTAGAGTGAAATGTATCTCTTAAATAGTTCTAAAAAAAGTCCGTGTCACCATATATCTATTTTTAATGTGTAAGTCATTACCGCTAAAATAGTGAATCAAAACTAAAATATTATTTGATATCTATTTCCAAAATGCACATTTTGTATTAACAAATCATGTTTTATCAAAACAAATACTTTTATCGCTTTTGATATTTAAAGACGATAAACTGTGCTTTTTACAGTATGTCATTTCGACAAATATTTAAAAAGTTACAACGATGACAAAGTGATAGCGCGGTGTACTATGTAAAAGAAAAAAAATGGGGTATGCGCAGTATCTGATCTTATACGAAGTACTAACAATAAAACTATGATACAGTTCCTTCTTATTGAATGATGAAAAATATATTATCAATAGGTATTTATGATTATTGAATTTTAATGAAAAACTCAGAATTTTACTGTTTTTCATTTTTTTTAACGATATTACTGAATGTTACAAAAAAGGTTTACTTAATATAATGAAAAATAACCCATACTTATTGGAATCCCTGTATTTATTAATCAGGTCGCGATAATATTGGTTTTGTAATTATTCTGCAAAATTCAAAGTAAATAATGTAGATTTTTATAGGTAAATCACCCCTTTCATCACCCTACGCCTATAAGTATTGCGATGTTGTAGCTAAGAACCAAGTTCCCATCTACTTCTATATGGGAATTCATTGTATTCGATTTAGCTATTAGGGCACGGAAGCGCAACAAACAAACTCACTTTCGCATCTATAATATTATATTATACTTACTAGTGATCCAACCGGGCATTGTACGGGCGAAATTTATTTATCGGGATAAAATATAGCCTATGTCACTCGGACAAAATGTATTTAAATAAAGAAAAATGTTATAATAAATAATGTAGCTACCTTATGATGAATTAATATTTGAAACCGGTTCAGTAGTTTGACAGATTATTTGTTACAAACATACAAATCTTGCCTCTTTATAATATTAGTATAGATAGTTAGGATAAGATAAGTATTTAATTGATGAAAAAGATTTAAAAATAAAGTAAGTAATAGGTTTATTTGATTTATTTGTAAAAGTTACTTAGCATTTGTGCTTAACAGCGATACATTATTCGGATTTTTATAACAAAAAAAAAATTGGAAAATAATTGCCATGATTGCACTACTGGGAGTTCTCTTCATTCGAGCTTTACACTACCAATAAAAAAGGGTCGAACACAAAGTCTTTGACCTGTTAAATGTGAACGTTTTAAAAGAAAACTACAAAGAGAACTATAAATTGATAATAAATGGGATTGCTATGGTGCTCTACCTAACGTTATGAAAATTTTATTATGCGCCTTAGTTTAATCAAATATTATAAACTTTGCTTTGGTGATTGCATAATTATTTAATTTAGTGATCTAAGACAGTTGCCACCATTGTCCAAAACAACAGACGTGAGTTACTGCTTTCTTCAACCTGTGACATAAACGTCATTGATTGGTATTGTATATAGGGTGATTAAAAACATTTGAAGTTAACTTCTGGCATCTACATATTGGCTTTCTGTGAATTATGTAGGTATATCAAATTATGAGACTAGGGACTGACACTGAATTTGTGTATATCACAATCTTAGACGTCCGGCATTGACATGACAATGCAGCCACTGCCAATTTTAAATAGTCGACGAATAAAAGTAAATGAATTTTGTATTTACTGCTAAACTATTAAAAAAAAACATAAACAAAAGATGAATTTTTGAGTAAGTGCTAGTTTACTATAAAATTTACATACATTAGAGATATTTATGTAACGACTTGATATAACTTCACACATTTTTGCGAAAATTGAGGCCCATCTGTAGCCTTGACCCGCGGGTAAAGTCTTTATATGTCTTAATAAATCAATCTTTTAGACCGACGCAAGGTACTTAATAATTCCCGCGATATTAATTCCCTTAATGAAGTAACAAGACTACGGTATATACCGTCTTAAAATACTAACTAACTAAAAAGTGTGAAATAAAAAAGGTAAATTTAAAAAATCAAAAAACCCGACTGCTTAATTATACTTCAAATAAAAACTGAAAAGAAAAAAACAAGTCCAGTAGTCTATAATTCTGTTAATAAGGAACAAAGCTACTTTAACAGTCGGGACCCACTGTTGAAAAATATTATGTATTCTTAAATATCTAATGGGTCCCGACTGTTAAAGTAGCTTTGTTCCTTATTAACAGAATTATAGACTACTGGACTTGTTTTTTTCTTTTCAGTTTTTATTTGAAGTATAATTAAGCAGTCGGGTTTTTTGATTTTTTAAATTTACCTTTTTTTTTAATTTAGAATAACTTTCTGAGCGTTTTTCAGAATTAAATAATTACTCATGCAAAATCATGTTTTCAGATGAAGAGAAAGCCAGAAGACCGACACCGTTAAACATATTTGCGATACGTGTGAGCCCGTCGAACATTCAGCAGGTGGAAGATGTTAGCTTGCTGATGGATACCATGCCTAAGAAACATCACACTGTCATAGTTCGTAAAAATGGTAAGTCAAATAAAATTAAGGTAAAAAAAACCTTTTTCAAAACAAGCTTTTATTCAAATGCGCTAAAAAGAAAATTTCATCTAAATTAGTTAAAGATATCTGTTTCTAAATAGATTTTCAAATTTTAGAAGTCCGCCCTATTGGATTGAGAGTGACGTCACATTTTTTTCGAGTTACTCTCAGCAAGCCCTTTAATTTGATACCCATATTGTAAGAATGCATTAAAAATGATTGGTCCGCCATTTTGGGTATGCCGCCATATTGGATTTAGAATGACGTCACACTGTTAATCATGCATTGTCATCCGAACTGATCGAGCATACCAAATTTCAGCTTAATCGGTTGAGGGCAAGTGCTTTAAAATTGAGTTGTAAGATTTGACCGTAACAAACATAGATAGCAAGCTAAATAAAAGCTTGTAATGAACAAAATCAAATGTACTTACAGATCCTAAGGTGAAATTTTATTGAATTGGTTACTTCCCTGTTCGTGCATAAAATAGGAATATAATAAGCCTTATTTATTGAAATCTGAAACGGACTAAAAATAAATTGGGAATCTTGTTTGTTATACCTACCCAGATTTTAATAAAGACACAAATGTTATAGCTAAACAAAACTAAAAAAGATACTGCTTTATATTGTTTCAAACTTTTAAGGTCACTAACATTACAGTAATTTCTGTTATTTACGCGATTGTTACCATGTACCTTGTTTTTAGAAAGTTTCCAATATTATGGCACTTTCGCGCTGTGTATAGTGATCCGCCAGTGGACGCTCTATGTGTATAGTGACCCGCCAGTGGACGCTCTATGTGTATAGTGACCCGCCAGTGGACGCTCTATGTGTATAGTGACCCGCCAGTGGACGCTCTATGTGTATAGTGACCCGCCAGTGCCTGTGTCGTACAGGGGGCGGGGAGGCGCGGCTGGTGGTGCCTGTGTGCGAGGCGGTGGCGGCGCTGGCTGGGTTGCACGGCGCGCTGTGTATAGTGATCCGCCAGTGGACGCTCTATGTGTATAGTGACCCGCCAGTGGACGCTCTATGTGTATAGTGACCCGCCAGTGGACGCTCTATGTGTATAGTGACCCGCCAGTGCCTGTGTCGTACAGGGGGCGGGGAGGCGCGGCTGGTGGTGCCTGTGTGCGAGGCGGTGGCGGCGCTGGCTGGGTTGCACGGCGCGCTGTGTATAGTGAACGCCAGGGGACGCTCTATGTGTATAGTGACCCGCCAGTGGACGCTCTATGTGTATAGTGACCCGCCAGTGGACGCTCTATGTGTATAGTGACCCGCCAGTGGACGCTCTATGTGTATAGTGACCCGCCAGTGGACGCTCTGTGTATAGTGACCCGCCAGTGGACGCTCTATGTGTATAGTGACCCGCCAGTGGACGCTCTATGTGTATAGTGACCCACCAGTGGACGCTCTATGTGTATAGTGACCCGCCAGTGCCTGTGTCGTACAGGGGGCGGGGAGGCGCGGCTGGTGGTGCCTGTGTGCGAGGCGGTGGCGGCGCTGGCTGGGTTGCACGGCGCGCTGTGTATAGTGATCCGCCAGTGGACGCTCTATGTGTATAGTGACCCGCAGTGGACGCTCTATGTATGCCCGCCAGTGGACGCTCTATGTGTATAGTGACCCGCCAGTGGACGCTCTATGTGTATAGTGACCCGCCAGTGGACGCTCTATGTGTATAGTGACCCGCCAGTGGACGCTATGTGTATAGTGACCCGCCAGTGGACGCTCTATGTGTATAGTGACCCGCCAGTGGACGCTCTATGTGTATAGTGACCCGCCAGTGCCTGTGTCGTACAGGGGGCGGGGGGGAGGCGGGCTGGTGGTGCCTGTGTGCGAGGCGGTGGCGGCGCTGGCTGGGTTGCACGGCGCGCTGTGTATAGTGAACGCCAGGGGACGCTCTATGTGTATAGTGACCCGCCAGTGGACGCTCTATGTGTATAGTGACCCGCCAGTGGACGCTCTATGTGTATAGTGACCCGCCAGTGGACGCTCTATGTGTATAGTGACCCGCCAGTGGACGCTCTATGTGTATAGTGACCCGCCAGTGGACGCTCTATGTGTATAGTGACCCGCCAGTGGACGCTCTATGTGTATAGTGACCCACCAGTGGACGCTCTATGTGTATAGTGACCCGCCAGTGCCTGTGTCGTACAGGGGGCGGGGAGGCGCGGCTGGTGGTGCCTGTGTGCGAGGCGGTGGCGGCGCTGGCTGGGTTGCACGGCGCGCTGTGTATAGTGATCCGCCAGTGGACGCTCTATGTGTATAGTGACCCGCCAGTGGACGCTCTATGTGTATAGTGACCCGCCAGTGGACGCTCTATGTGTATAGTGACCCGCCAGTGGACGCTCTATGTGTATAGTGACCCGCCAGTGGACGCTCTATGTGTATAGTGACCCGCCAGTGGACGCTCTATGTGTATAGTGACCCGCCAGTGCCTGTGTCGTACAGGGGGCGGGGAGGCGCGGCTGGTGGTGCCTGTGTGCGAGGCGGTGGCGGCGCTGGCTGGGTTGCACGGCGCGCTGTGTATAGTGAACGCCAGGGGACGCTCTATGTGTATAGTGACCCGCCAGTGGACGCTCTATGTGTATAGTGACCCGCCAGTGCCTGTGTCGTACAGGGGGCGGGGAGGCGCGGCTGGTGGTGCCTGTGTGCGAGGCGGTGGCGGCGCTGGCTGGGTTGCACGGCGCGCTGTGTATAGTGATCCGCCAGTGGACGCTCTATGTGTATAGTGACCCGCCAGTGGACGCTCTATGTGTATAGTGACCCGCCAGTGCCTGTGTCGTACAGGGGGCGGGGAGGCGCGGCTGGTGGTGCCTGTGTGCGAGGCGGTGGCGGCGCTGGCTGGGTTGCACGGCACGCTGTGCGAGGTGATTCACCGCGTGGATGCGAGCTATGGAGCGCCGCTTGTAGTCATACTCATCTCTACGTTGCTGCATCTGATTGTGACGCCGTACTTTCTTATCATGGAGTTTAGTGAGTTTTTCATATTTGTTTCATCATCATTATCACCAGCTTATTAATGTCCCCATTGCTAGGGCACATGTCTTTTTTTCAATGGAATAGGAAGATTGGGCCATGAGCCACCACGCGGGCCCAGTGCGGAGCGGTAGGTGCTAACGACCGCAGATGAAACTGGAACCAACAGCTTAATGTACCTTCCGAAGCATGGAGAACCTCGAGATAGTAAATTTATGGTCACCCATCCACCGAATACTGCGAAAGTTGCTTAACTTCAACGATCGTATCCGAACGCACTAATCGCTTGCACCATCGAGCTTCTTTAATGCATATACTTTTTTTAAACTTTATTTCCATAATTGAAAAATGAACAAAACGTGGCATTCTATTTTCTCATGAATTTCTTCTTATTTTTCAGTGGGTATCGGTCATGCGTTGCTAATAGTTAATTTTTTCAGTTCGTATATGTAAATTATTTTGACAGAATAAATTAAAAGATTAGGAAAGGCTTTTACGTGTATCTCGCTTTATAATCTCTTATCTATTAGACAAGTCCTTCCGTCTGTGGTGCTGTTTCAGCGGCCAAACCGTAAGAGATAGATAAAGAGAATATTTAAGTTATAAGTTAAGAATAGTCTAATAAGACTACAAACCGGATTTGAGTAACGTAGCACTTCCGGTTTTCGAGAAATCACGAATTTCAAACGAAACCACACAAAATCTCCGAAGTTCTCAATTAATTAAATACATTTTTTTTAAATCAGGTTTTGGTGAACATTTGCTTCACTTGTTTGCTAGTATTCTTTATAATATATTGTGTATCTCGATTTCAATTTATAGGTGCTATAAAAAATTAGAGCGAGAGACAGAAATTGATAGTTTTCCTTATATGTTCACTGTAAAATTAAGATTATTTAGATGTAATAGTGGGAATAGATCGGCGATATTGGCTATAATTAAAAGTATGACTATTTTATTTTCATAATAATTTTCTTACAGTTTTATCGCGCACACACCGAGTACATTTCCTGGTGCTGCAGTTCCTATGGTGTGCCACACACATGCTCAGAATGTTCATCGTAGTTGAACCTTCGCACTACACTATCGTCGAGGTAATAAAAAAATAAAGATGTGGATTTTGGTTCTACTACACCAATGGTCAAGAGATGGCGCTGTAGTCTCCTGAATCGCGCTTTGGTTCCGTTGTTTCAGATTAATATATACTTTTGATAGGCCTTCACAATGCAGTCGTTAGCACCTTCTTAATAGAGATTCTATTTCTATTAAAATTTCACTCTCATCATTTTTTCATAACGCGGCTAAAGAAGTATAACTTCAAAAACTTCTTTCAGAAAACATTAATTCTAACGACGACATTCAAAACGTCTACATACTAACCAGTTTCCATTTTGTTTCCTCCATGTATAAATCTTGTTTCTCTGTCGAAAATGTCTCGTTTCATTCTCGTTTCCGTTTCGTTTTTATCCCCTTTCCAGACGGAAAGGAAACCAATGGTGTATTCCGTAATATACACCAGTATACTGGCCAGTGCTAATAACGTCATGAATCGACGCTATACTGGTGAATTCTTCCGAAATATACAGGCCAGTGCACTGACGTCATAAATCGACGAAATGTTTAAAATAGTGCGAATAAAGAAGATTTTTTATTTGCCTCATCAATTAAAAGGAATTATTTTTGTACGGATGCCATTATTGTTCTTTAAATAAAAAAGAAATAAAATTCGCATGCATCTCACGCACGCTCGGTCATACGTCATATTCGTTTTCCCGGTAAAAATATGGTAGCATACCAGTACAATATGGCGTCGGATTCGTGACGTCGTTACCACTGGCCAGTATACTGATGTATATTTCGGAGGACGCCGTCAAGTGTCCGACACTTTTTAGTTTGGTTTCCGTCTTGATTTCAACTCGTTTCCATCTTGATTCCCTTTAGTTCTTCTGTCGCATCTTACAAGCGTCTATTTTTTGGTAGCTTTTAATCGAAAACGACAGTTCTATTTGTCACGTCGTAAACAACCATTACTACAAAAGAGCTTTACTCGATAGCCGGTAAAGGAACGCGCAGTTTGTTCTCTACGTCTCTGGATAAACTCATATAACCTATGCAAATACCTCCGGAATGTTTACTGAAACTCGGACTGATGGTTTTCATGCCGTCTTGCGGAAAAAGGTTGCGTCATTGATGTGTAGAGTGCGGAGCAGTAACAACACCATTCTGGAGACCGTGGCAAGGGATCCGCATGCACCATTTTGGAGGCATTCCGTGCGTATGATGACTGAAATAGGAGTTAACTATTCTTCTTGGTGTCGCTCGCGCGGAGTGCCTCTAAGGTACATGACCTATTGAAAAGGCATAAATATTTTGAATATATAAATACTTATTATAGGCTACTAACACTTAGTTGTAAGTTATATTGTATACTAACATATGGATCTATGTTGTCTGCCAATAAATGATATTATTATTATAAATATAAAATTAAAGTTTACGTATCCAGGGCATGCGCACCGAAGGCCTAGTGTGTCGCCTGATGACGCACGCGGCGGGGGCGGGCGGGGGGGCGCTGCCGGCGCGCGTGGAGCTGTTCTCCCGGCAGCTGGTGCTGCGCTCCGTGGGCTACTCCCCGATGGGCATGTGCGTGCTGGACCGGCCGCTGGTGGCCTCGGTGAGTCCCCTACCTCTGTCCCTGTGACTGATGACGCGCGCGTGGAGCTGTTCTCCCGGCAGCTGGTGCTGCGCTCCGTGGGCTACTCCCCGATGGGCATGTGCGTGCTGGACCGGCCGCTGGTGGCCTCGGTGAGTCCCCTACCTCTGTCCCTGTGACTGATGACGCGCGCGTGGAGCTGTTCTCCCGGCAGCTGGTGCCGCTGCTGGTATTTCTACACATACTACAGCGAAATAAAAAACTCCCTCCCATTTGATTTTAAGTGAAAGTAAAGACCAGTAGCGGTAGACAGGAAAGTGTGTCTGCCCGGCCATACTCACCCAGATCTCGTAAAGCCCCTAGAACTTAACTCACTAAAATAATCACAACTATATCAAAAATTACTGTTTCTTTACTGTGTTTTTTGAAAGATGAAGGTTCCCCAGAGGAGTACTCTTCTGGTGAAAACACCTAAACTTTACAAAAGATCACAGTGAATCAACACTAAAAGTTGTGTTTTTCTATCGGAAAGCAAGGTTCTAAGGTTTGGTACATTGATACGGCAAACGTCTGCAGGCTATGGAAGCTGGTTACCATCGAGCGGGCCATAAGCATTTTAAAACCATAATAAGAAAAACGACGGCTTGCACTCCGGGAGTGCCGGCAGAAGTGAAACCTTGAATATTAATGTTGTGCATTTTTGATATTTTGGAATGGTTAGGGAATAATTTTGCACGAATTGCTTTAATTATCAGTATAAAAGTACTATCATTTATGTGGTAGAATACTATATTTATTTATTGCGCTATCGTACACAAACTAGACAATTTTTATTACTTTATAAAGTTTATCTCTCAGAATAATCAACTTACATGAATCACATTTAAGCGCACCTATAGTCTATTCACTTTGGCTTGAGACAAAATGTAAACAAAGAATCTGAGGTTCTAAAACTTTTATAATGTCCAGAAAGTACCTACTAGTCAATGATTAGGTATATCTTTTATGTAACCTATATTAAAATTATAATGAATTCTGTCTTGATGATAAATATAATAAAAGAATGTGTATTTCAAATGAAACCAGCATAATACCAAATAATATTTATTCACTGTCTGACAACTCACTGGATGCACCAACTTTAATAATAAATTTATCCACAACATCATCAACAATACCATTCAATTTCAGCATTTTCTGCTCTTCTTTAATGACATGGTCAATGCACCTTTTCCACGATTCAGCTGTGATTGATTGTAAGGCATCGGCTAATTTTTAATTTCAGTCATCTTAAATGTTTTATTATTTTTACCAATATATCCCTTGACTTGTGCCCATATGTACAATACAATCAGATGCTTCCCTTTTCCACTTGGGGTTTTCAATCCTATTGACAATCCCTTTCGATGAGCTTCTTTCGCAGTTTTAATTGTATGATCTTGCCAAATTTTGTTCATAGTGTGTCCTGTAACAAATATAAGTTCATTAACAACTTATGAAAAATAAAAACAATAATAATTTATTTAATGACACAACATATTTGAGTAACATTTTCACAGGATAAAGACATGGTATGAAAATAATAAGTATCATTCAATATTTATAAAAAGATTATAATAAATTTATGTGCATAGAAATTAATATATTTTAGTACTGTGATGATAAACAATAAAAAATATGAATTTAGTTTATCAGTTTATGAATACAAAAGGAAATATAATTTCATTCAGAAGTAAATTTCCCACAGGATAAAGTAGTTTAATATTGTATTTTACTAACCTTCATTTATCCAAGTTTCTTCAGTGTAATAAATAGTTCTACCTTCGCTCCTGAGCTTTAGAATATTATTTAAATATTTGATGGGCCATTAAACAATGTCATCTCTTTCAATAAGCCCACTCTTTCGGATATTTAAATTGTAATGATTTCATCAACTTGAAAAAAGAGGTCCTCATAAAGTTGGGCAAAGTTTCATCTGTATTCTCAGCATGCAATACTTTGTCAACGGTGGGCATCTCCTTATTAAAAAAAATGTGTGGACTTTGCGGCGTATCGCAGCCTTATCCATATCGTCCAATGTATCCTATCCAACAAAGATACTTTAAATGGCGGAGGCGGAGGTGATGAGATACGGCCAGTACTTTTCTTTTCCTTCACCAACCGGTAAACAGTAGCTCGTGATATGCGCAGTATTTCGGCGGATTTATTGATTATATCACTTCTATATGGATATGAATCTTTTGGCCAGGTTTCTTTAACATGTTTAAAAACATTTATCACGAGCTCCTTTTCGTTGGAGCGCAATGGTCCACTCTTTGTACGCTTTTTCTTCGGCGAAGAAAATGTACAAGAGCTGCTTGGTCCCGGTTCACCACTCATAACTATAGCTACGAAAACGTCAATTAAACAAGAAAACAATCACAAACAACTTTAAACTTAACAGTAAATAAAATAACAACAAACTTAACAAATAAAATAAGGAAATAACAAGAATTTAACAAATAAGATTGACTAAGCACGCTCGCGTCAACAGGTTGATCGGGAGAGTAAAGATGGCTGACATAAACCAACCGATTACAAAACACAACACTGCAACGTAAAATACTTGTATCATGTCATCTCTTAAATTTTGTCGTATTATAATACGTCTTAGGTTTGGGAATGATTGTGTTATTAGGTCTTTTTCCATGTCAACTTAAGTTGTTAAAATACTTTTACCAGCAAATTAAAAATATACGAATTTATGATGTGAATGTACGTTGAATATAATGTAAAATATTTTATTTTATTATTCATATGTATGCAACAGATATTAAAATAATTAACTTAAATTTTCGCTGCATTTCCTATGTAAATAGTATTTAATCTTTGCTTTTGTCAAACGTGACCTTAAAAAGTATCAATTTTATGGTTTGTTTACATTTTGTCTCACGCCAAAGTGAATGGACTATAGCGACATCTATTGTAAAACAAATGCATTTTCATCGCAATAAAGCTGCCACCTAGCGTCCACGGCTGGCCACTTCCTATTTAGAGCCAATATATTGAAAGTCAACAACCTTTCCAATTTTATTGTTTTCGTCTTACACCACGTGTCCTGACGCGAGTTTAACATTTTTTACACATTACAAAAAAAGTGTACAACGCCGCTAAAGAAGTTTTCACTTCAAAAATAAACTTTTACGGTATTAACTAGTCCATTCATTATTTATATAGATATATATTCTAAAGCATTTAACTACTCAATGTTTAAATCTAAAGAAAATTTTACTAGAAAGAAATCTATTATACTATTTATTTTTTCTAGTGAATTTTCCTTTAGATTTAATTCACTAATTCTCAAACTCCCTTTCAATTTATCTAGAAATAATAGTTTTTTTTGTGTTCCTTTCAGATATTGGGTGCAGTCACCACATATCTGGTGATAGTGATACAGTTTCAGAGATACGATGTGTGAAAAACATAACATTAATGGCATCTCCTGACAGAATATACTCCAAACACGAACTGAATTTGAATTCAAACATACGGTGCTTAAATGTTGTCAAACATCATACAGTCATTGTAATGAGAATGAAGAAACACTGAACCTCCTTGTGGTCAATGGTCTTAAAATAGATAAGTAAATGTGTCCTGAACAACGTGGTATTGTATATATGAGCCGTCACGGGACGCCTGGCAGATGTGAAATACGGTTTACGATAAATACACTCGGAGAATTGCTTGGGATGCGTGCGGTAAAAAATGACATAGTTCCTTCCTCGGAGGGCGCTGGAACTGTACTGATCAGGGTCCGATTTTTAAAAATCGGGAGGCGTTATAGAAAAAAACAGTAGATGGATGGAAAGAGCTAGAGATAGACAGTAGATACAGAGGCGTACTTTTTGCCATTTTCATCCCCCACCCCCTCCTAGAATTGGTAAATCAAATCATGATAAAGACCAGTAACGAATGTGTTTCTGTGGCTTCTGCCGCCCCTTAAAGCTAGTTTTTTAGACAATAACATCTATTATAAAATTAATAAGGTTACCTACATTATTACTGGCCGAAAATGCATCTCAACATGCAATTTAAAAAAGAAAATCGTATTCTAAGAAAAACTGTAGAACTGGAGAAATTTCAGAAAACACAGGAGATCTCCTGTAAAATCTGGAGACCTGGGAACACTGGTACTGATCGGCGAGCGTTATCCATTGCCAATAAATTAAAAAAAAAACGGCGAGCGTCGCTTCGCCAGAGATCGGTTGGAAGTGCGCCCAAAGATGTTCCACATTAAAGAGCTTGTGCGTCTCGGGACGCACGACAGAAGTGATAACTTATGCTAATCTAAGCGGCGCTGCGTGTTAGGCCGTATACAGAAAGAAAGCCGAAAGCCGATCGGCGCCGATAAGCGCCGACACGCGCTGGTCCGAATAATAAATAATTTGTATTTGAATTATTATCCTTAGATTAAATCAATCTAAGTTATAATCTTTTTATAAATCTAATAACTTCATCTTTTATTAACTAAGCGCTAAAATTATTTGCTTCGTACTTACCGAATGGTGACAACAAGTCTTTCTTCTGGAAGGATTGGTTGTTTATGCCAATTGCCCCAATTTTTCATCAAACGGTTTTTCACTAAATCCAAAATGTAATAAAATGTTTCTTGAATCATTCTTGTATATGTATAAAATCTTTGTTCATCAAATTTTTTTTTTTTTTTACAAATAAATGATGGTATTCTCCGAAACGTTTCCTTTCTCTATTTATAGGATGTATAGCTGTTTTTCGCATTTTTAAATAAACATTTTCTAACAAAACCAAATCATCGTCCGATGAGTCCGACATTTTGCTTGATCTGCTTTAATCGGCTTCCTTTATGTAGGAAGGATCGGCGCCGATAAGCGCCGATCGGCTTTCGGCTTTCTTTCTGTATACGGCCTTAGAGTGAGAGAGGACGAGCCTACCGACCGCTTCCGTATGCGTGGGAGGAAGGGAAGCCGGACAGACTGGCGCCGTAACGCGTTACGTAACGAAGCGGTTAACCCTCCCATAAGAAGTTATCACTGCAAATTGCAGTTTTCGATTCAAATGAAAGAACCTAGTCAACACTGTGAATCTTTCTAAGTAGTCATAAATATATCGTTAAGTAAATTGCATTTTTAATTTATTTATTGTACCTAATAAAAATATTGTGAAAAAATGATCGTTTTTCTTTAATTTATACATTTCATCGCTCGAAGTTACCTTAGATAAGAGTGTAGTTTAATTGATATGGTAGCCAGCATAATAACGATGCAGCATTATTAAAGTGGAACTTCGTTTTGGACGTGGTGTTAATGGGTTGCCAGATGCTAGCTTATCAATTCCAGTTCCAGTTTCCAGTTGATAATAAATGTAGCATGTCGTCTGGTCACTCTAGTGTAAAGCTACGTATAATGCGATTCAACTAAAAATAGGACCGATTGGGCGCCATATTTTGACGTCATAGCTGTCAATTCAAACCAAATAGGTAGAGTGAGTAAAATAATTTTGCTATTCAATAAAACTTATATACACTAAGATTAAGGGAGACAAAACATATATACTAAGATTAAGGGAGACAAAACATCCGATTTTTTAATAAAATTAATTTACTAAGGTTGAGAAAGAACACAACCGATTTTTAATAGTATTTCTTTATTAAGACTGTATGAAAAAAACATTAATCAGAATCTAGCTCTTCAATTTCGCTCATCTTTGCATTACAGCCGGAGAAGTTATGAATAATCATGCAGGTCACATACGAACATGCATCCTATATGTGAACGAAAGTTTTAAATCGAGTTTCTAAACGCAACATAAAGTGACATTTGGTTGACGATTAGGTTATCAAAACCATTCATAGCCAATAGTCAATAAGTGGAAAAAAATACAAATAATATTAATTACCAACATTTGTTATTGTTTGTTTAAAAATGTTTGGTTTTTATTCTAGAATTAGCTGAGTGCTAAAAAAGTGTTTCGAGATTTTTTTGCAAACCATACTTTTCAAGCGACTTTTGACAGATGGATGTCATTGGCTTTCCTATTCTTATTTGAAACGCATTATACTAATATACAGGATCCTTCGGAGGTCTTTCTAAAAAAGAGATTTTATTTTCACACACTATTTCACATATTGCCTAGTCAGCTGTCTAGGAACCCTATCTGCAATATTACATACATATCTTATTTATAACAGGTACGCGTAGCATCAAGTATTTAGGCCTATATGGCGTTCTAGGGCACGCGCAGCCGACCTAACCTAACTGGGTGAAGGCAGAAACATATTTACGTGTCATGGCGTGTTATGACGCGCCAAAAGCACATCGTTTGTATACATTTATTATAATTAGAGAAAGGTTATTTATTAGGTTGAGTCGACCCAAATGTATGAAAGCGGTGTGCTTCTGCTTCAGTCGCCACGGCACGTAAATATGCCTTAATAGATGAAAGAGGATGAGGACTTACATGGCGTTAGCGCGTTCGGCTGCGATCGTTGAAGTTAAGCAACATTCGCAGTGGTGGATGATGAAAAATCTTCTATCTCGAGTTCCTCCATGCTTCGGAAGGCACGTTAAGCCGTTGGTCCCGGCTGCATCTGCAGTCGTTAGCACCCGCCAATACGCATTGGGCCCGCGTGGTGGGATATAGCCCTATCTCACTACTCCATCCATAGTGATGGCTTGTGCCCCAGCAGTGGGGACATTAATAGGCTGATGATGAGATATAGGCGGGAAAAGGACAAACGTTTGCCTTATTTGATAATAGATGGCATTAGAACTACATGAACAGTACCCTTAGTACTAGTTTTACAATTACGAAAACTATGATAGTTTTCGTAAGCTCGCACTCGTACTAAGGGTACAGATTTTATTGTTTTCGTTTCAATATAAATAAATAAATATTTCCAACACTCACATCAATTAGCCTAGCCCCAAGCTAAGCACTATAAGGCTTGTGTTATGGGATACTAGGGTAACGGATAGAATACATATACTGTACATATATAAGTATATTTATATAGAAATACATATTAAACATCCATGACTGGAGTACTAATGCTCGTATTCATCACACAAACATCTGCTCCCACCGGGATTCGAACCCGGGACCTCTCGAGTCGGCTAAACCCGGCGTTCAAACCACTCGGCCAAGGAGGTCGTCAAAACAAATAAACAGTGTTTAAATTCTATCATTAAATCATTTGCGACTTTTAAAATTTTAAGTATATTTGGTTACTTTTCACCAAAATGGACATAGAAACATAATTTACAATTACGAAAACCTTGATAGTTTTCGTGAGCTCAAACTTGTACTAAGGGTACAGAATAATTAAGAATACAGGTAGGTAACATCTTCAGGTAAGCGCTTTAAATAATGTAAATCACATTTTATTTTTTGATATTTATTAAACCGTTCGGTAGGTAGGTACAATAAAAATGTTATAGGGTACTCAAATCGCCGATGGACCCATAACATCGGAATCGTCAGTCTCACCTAAGATAATAATATAATTATTACTTTAAAATCTATTCAAAATACGCGATACATAATGGTACATTATACAACACATCTATTTTACTGAGTAACCTCTGGTACTAGGACAGTAACTGTAGTTTTAAATCATTTACCTAATACAACTAATTCTTATAGGTGTAAAGAACCTCTTTACAGTTCTTTAATTTGTTATTTCTTATGTAGTTTGTATAGCTCTCGGGCGACCATAATAATAAAACTGTCACTTGATAGATGGTGTCGCTTTGACAGAACGAGCCGTAATATTTTTATTTGATTATTTTAAAACTAGCAAACCAGTGAACCAAATGTTCACCAAAACCTGATTTAAAAAAAAAAGAAATGAAAAATGTATTTAATTAATTCAGAACTTCAGAGATTTTGTGTGGTTTCGTTTGAAATTCGTGATTTCTCGAAAACCGGAAGTGCTACGTTACTCAAATCCGGTTTGTAGTCTTATCAGACTATTCTTAACTTATAGCTTAAATATTCTCTTTATCTATCTCTTACGGTTTGACCGCTGAAACAGCACCACAGATAGACGGACGGACTTGTCTAATAGATAAGAGATATTATTGTAAAGGAAGGAATTGTTGTATTAAGTAAAAGACTTTAAATGCCGTTTCTTTGTTTTCAGGTAAGTTAGTATGATTTACAATTTCCATTAAAAGATATTGTCTTATATAGGTTAAATGAAACTTCAAATTTTCTCTTAAAGCTATGTTGGTAGATCCTGGCATGATTCTCTATAATTAAAAATAAATTAACTTCAGTCTCGCCTTTTAAATACTTTTTTTTTTGTTTTTTATAAAGCCAGGTAGGCAAATTACTCTACCCCACCTGGGGGCCATTCGCCTAACGGAAATGCTTTGGAAAACGCTAACGCTTACGTATTCATTTTGTTATTTCTAGCAGCCTGAGGTTTTCAAATGCCTCGCGCTCTTTTATTTTTTCTTTTGCATTGGTAATAATAATATTATAAAAAAATAGCGTGAGATATTTGAAAACCTTCGGCAGTCAGATAGCTGTTACAGCAGTTACAAATTGCCATACCAAATACCAACCATGTTTAAAGAATGATAAGGATACACTGTCGTCTAAGTTCAGCTTTATACCAGCCATAGGGTACGGCCAGAGTGCACTCAGATTCAGATTCAAATTCAGACTCCGAAAACAAGCGCGAGAAATAAACAGTGTAGTTAAAGCAGGGTGGCCATAGTGGCAGCAGGTAACCTGCTTAGACTACACTGTTTATTTCTCGCGCTTGTTTTCTGAGTCTGAATCTGAATCTGAATCTGAGTGCACTCTGGCCGTACCCATACACACTACGAGAAATCGTTACGATTAGACTGTACAGTCCGAACGGTACCGATAAATCGTAGCGTGTATGTTATAAAACTGCACAGTTTCCTATACTAAACGAAATCGTATAAACTGTACCGTTCGAACTGTACAGTCTGATCGTAACGATTTCTCGTAGTGTGTATGGCCGGTATTAGATAATCATGCCAGAATCGACATCAGAATGTTGCTGTGGAGTCCAGTTGCGAAGATACTTAGGTGATGCTGTTATTGTGTCTCATTAACCAACTACAGTTTGCCCTTGATTAAGTTTTTGCACTATTTCTATCACAGCTAGCGTTGCCACCTTTTTTATGTCATGGTAAGGTAAGTACCTTGTGTCCAAAATAAAGTACTTTTTCGTACCACTTGCTCAAAAAAGTGACATTCTATGCCACAAAAAGCGAACATAACAATAGTCATTTTTAATCTGTTAAAAACAGGGAAAGAAAAGTGTACTGAATTTCATTCATCCTCTAGGGGGAGAATGTGATTTAAATTTGGAATACTTACCGAAATTTATACTGAACTACATCTGTGTTTACACCATTGAGTTTGTATATAAAGCATTATTCATCGTTTGAAAAAGGAATACACATTTATTGTGCAGTTATAGTGTTAACACCCTCGCTACGCTCTGGAGTAAACCTCGAGTCCTTCGTTACGCTCGCGATTTAAATCGTCACCCGCGACAGAAGACACTGCTTTATCCCCTTGGTTAATAATCTACTATTTATTCCACTTTATTAGTAGGTATAAGCAACTAAATAATTTGTGGCTACTAAAAATCTGTAGTTCTTATCCGCAATGGGACAGGCCATTGTACAAAGCTATACAGCCGCGACAATGTTGCAGGAATGAGCTAAGAGCGACATATTATACATACTGTTGTTCCGTTTTACGCAAAAATTCTTCCGATACTCTTTTTGTATATTTATGTAAAATTAATTCCCAAGTAATCAAATCACATCAAATAAAGTATTTTCGCTTACTTTATTGTTGGTTTAAAGTAAAGAGTACAATTACCCAAAATAACGTACAATCTCTTATCTATTAGACAAGTCCGTCCGTCTGTGGTGCTGTTTCAGCGGCCAAACCGTAAGAGATAGATAAAGAGAATATTTAAGTTATAAGTTAAGAATAGTCTGATAAGACTACAAACCGGATTTGAGTAACGTAGCACTTCCGGTTTTCGAGAAATCACGAATTTCAAACGAAACCACACAAAATCTCCGAAGTTCTCAATTAATTAAATACATTTTTTGTAAATCAGGTTTTGGTGAACATTTGGTTCACTGGTTTGCTAGTACTTAAAAATAAAGTATGGGTGGCAACCCTAATCACAGCCCAGTCACTGTGGCTGCAGACGCTTTATCCTTTGCTGTGACGTCGAAGAATACCCGAGGTTACTAATAAAACTTATCAATTAAAGATGCATTGAACGAAATTGTAAAAAGGTCTATCAATAACTTGATTCATTGAAACCTCATAACAAACATGCCGAAATGACAATTGTAAACGAACAAGGATCGTTTCAACAAATTACAATTTACGAGATTGCATTGCAACTATAGAAATTGGTATAATGATTTAACGAAAACGTTTTACCAACACAAGTACGTGATGCTGTCAATCCATGTTCCATTTGTTAGCTTAACATTATTGTGTTTTTTGACAATGAGGGCTATCGCGTCTGAAATCGCCGCTAGAGGCGCTTGTGTTGCGTGAGGTCTCCGAAATGTCAAATGTTATAGCTTGCGGGTTGACTACGCGGTTTTTTTCTAATTAAAATAATAGTTGTGAATATTTGGTAATAAATCAGAATTATTATGGCAAATATGAGTTACGTGCCAATGATTGTCAGATATTTAAAAGCGGAGCTAAGAAAAAATATTGTCCTCCTTTTTTTCGAACAAAACGGGACTGCGCAACACTGTGGCATGGGCGATTATGTTTAAGATACGATTCTTTTGTATTAAAATGTAAACTTTGATATCACGAGCGTGTTTACTAACATTAAAAGTTACACTTCAGGACCTCACTCAACAGTGGCGCCATCTGGTGAGACAAAAAACGATAGCCCTAATTGCAAATAATGAAATTAACGGTTTATTTACTGATAGCAATTTTCGCCTAATAAAATTAACCACGGTAGTATCATGTGGGTAGGCAGACTAGCTATGGTTTATCTAAGATTATTAGCTAAGCTGATCCACATCAATCATAATTCTTTAGGGTGGCTACTGACATAACTGCTGCAGGGGCAATCTAGGGCGCACGGTGGTTGGGGCAATATCGGCTTGTCTCTAAACACATACCTGCTATTCAGTGTTCGGATATTTATTGAGCTAAACCCGCGTTGATAAATTTGTCCCAGTATTACCAAAAAATCAAGAGATCGGTAGGTAGGAAATACTAGGTGCAGAATAGGCAACAGAAAGAAATGTATTGTAAATAAATAATGTTTGTGTTTTTTAATCCCGCATGTGGGATCGGTCTTCATATAATTCTATCACTGGCGTCCAAACTTCATACTCATTATAATCTGCCGTTATCTTAATCGAAATACGTGCACTTCGTGTGACAGTTACTAACCAACTGGTTAAGAAGTTGCCCCGATCGCGCTACACACGCGGCCTCGTGCAGGGCGGCAGGGGCAATTTAGGGACCGATGCTGGTTTTGCGCTCCTGTCGTCCTACCGCAGGGCCAATCTAGAAAATTGCCCCTGCTTGCCTACACACATCACAATTAAGGGTCATTCTCACTCTAACACCCTAAATTACCCCTGCAGCAGGGATGTAGGTAGCCCGCTTTACTAAGCAAATCTGTCACTTCAAGTCGTCAAAATATTATATTCAATGTTCACAAGTTCCCTTCTCCAATAAATGGAATATATAATGTGTTGCGGCAATTGAGGTTTTATTCTACATTGAAATCTTGTCAGAAAATCTGATCTGTCTATAAAGTGTGACTGTATTTGCTTCTGTCTTCATAAGAATTATAATTTAATAAACATGAATCTTACTTACCGCCATACACATAAAAAGTTAATTAGCTCACGTAACCATAGTAACGGTTTTTTTAAGAGATCTATTCTTTCTTTGGCTGAGTAACTTACACTAATTAACTTCTATTCTATCAGATCCAATTCAAAATGGATCCTCCTAAGTCTAGGGAAATATCAAACTATGATGGTACTCGATAGCTTTGTGAAAATGGTTCCTTAACATGACGATAATTACTTACGATATGTATCAAATAATTATCAATTTAATCACTAATCAAACAATGTGATTTGTTACTTATTCCACGCTTTAAACAACTTATAAAAGCTGTGTACCGACTAGGCGTTCCCTGGAGCGCGTTATCAGTACGCAGCAAGAGAGGTTTTGCATCGAGTATGGAATCGGAATATTTCCTTGTGCCACATACGGTAAAAGTTTACGTAAATGCTTATTTCGCCATCATCATTTGACAATGCACGTTAAACTGTATTAATATCGTCAGTGCTTGACTAGTTCAAGCACGTAGTGTTTCTAAGAATCAAAATGTCCAAAGTACATTTGTTGACACCATAATGGACAAAATTTGATAAAGACATACGTCTTTCAGCCATGACTTTACTTGACCATTTAGCTGCATTTCCATAAAATTTGCACCATCATTTAAATTTGGTTTAACATTATCTGTCTCATTATTATAAGTCATTGACACGATATCTTAAGCCTCAAATACTTTAACGGTATTTTAATGTTCTTTTAATCAATCTTGACCAATTAAATTAATCTGATAATTATCACAACATCTTTCTTGCACATTGTTACAAATAAAATTTCTTTCTTTCTTTGAGAATGCTGGTTACAAATTTCCATTTTCAGCTATCATTAAAGATCTTCAGTGAATTATCTGACATGAATAGTTTTTTTTATTAAGATCTTCTCATCGTAACCTTACTTCCACGTAACTGATAATTCAGTGAAATGAGAAAGTCTTAAAGATATTGTTAACAATTGAAGTGTTATTTCAACTACAATAATGCTTGTGCTATAAGTGGCAGGACGATTTACACTATTGAAGTATTTATTAGAGCAATTTAATAGGTAATTGAATTTAGTTTACAGAGAGACACGTTACACTTAATAAAGCACTCTTCTAAAGACTGGAATAATTAAACCGATATTTTTATTGCTATTTTAGTAGACCAACTTCCATTATACGATACAAGATTTTATTAAGAATTTAATGCATCTATAAAGTTAGCTACGAATCTTGATATTTAATTGGATGAAGTGAAACTTATTGGAGGAAGGTTTTCGATAGAAACAAATACTACTACGTATAAAAGTTGAGTCGACGTTATTGGAGAGGCACACACCGATGGAATTACAGCTTCTTGTACCAGAAGAGATAATGTTCCCCATCTTCTACTAGTAAGTCATCCACACCTGGAAATGAAATAATAAAATGTGTAATGAAAATTGAACAAATAAATTATTTTACCTTCTTCTTTTTCTGAGTTATCAGAAAAAGAAGCAGACTTGACATAGAATAAGGTCGCGTTGCAGTAAACGAAATGTAGGATGATGTAGGCGTGTTAGATGTCACTGAACAGAACCCTGTGCAAAGTTGCGCCCTTAACAACCGCCATAAAATTTGAATCGTATTGCCTCTAACTTTTCATAGATACACTCTCTTAGCGACTTACTTTTACTGTATCATCATCAGCCAGTATATCAATGAACTGATGCAGAAATATTCCCTATGGATGGAATAGGGAACAGGCGATGACTCACCATGCGTGCCCATTGCGAATTGGTGGGTGCTAACGATTGTAGACCAACGCCTTGACTTCCTGACTTCCAACGGAGGAGCTCAAGATAATAAGTGTTTGGTTTTATGCAAATAAATTGAATTGAATTGAACCACCCAATGACCGGTCATTGTGAAAGTTACTCAATTACCAAAGGAGATTGCTCAGCTTCCATACATGTTTGGCCTAAAAACCAATAACCATGAAAAATTGTTTCCTAGATTCGAAATTATATATAAATTGCCGTAGAAACGAATATTATCGACGGCCACTCCTGAGAACTTCTATAAACCATATACACTGAATGATTTTGAGGTTATGTTTGCAAATAGGCACATAGGTATTAGAATAATAAAAACCAAATAACTTATATAGGAAAATAGGGCAATCAAGCCAAGTACCGATATTATGTATTAGATTCAGGTATATAGAGCATGTAAAATAACAGATAATTGCCTGTTTTTAAAATTAATGCACAAGAGTAAGTTTTAAAATCATGATTATGCCATTGCGACTTTCAGAAGCAATCTTGTTTCATTTGACAAGTGTCTAACACTAATTACACTAACAAAATGCATGTCAAGGAACTGGTACCTGCTTACCTATGTTATGAGAAACATGGAACTGTTATTTTATAAAATTTTATAACCAATAGGATATTTTCTTAGTAATAATTAAGTTTATAATGGTAAAAGGTAATTCTAATGTAATAATATATTGCGTAGGTTCATGATAGTTCTGATCAATGTGTGAAATATGTATATTCCTGACATAGCTTAAATATTCTGATAAGGTAAATTAATGAAATAAAACAACTTAAGTACTTTTATGTTGCGTTTAATATTACATATCATCTACATTTTGAATTAAAATATCATCGAAATATTTTATCAATCTTTACAAAATAGATTTGTTTTGATGTTATATAAACAACCTCGATCAGTCTTTGTGAATGTTACTACACCCATAGCCAATAAAAATGATTCGTATGTTTTCCAAACCGGTAAAAATAGAAGTCCTTTTTACCCGGCTGCGCAATGCAAGAGCGCGAAGCGCGACGCGCAGACAGGGTTATGTGTTTAACAGTCTATATATGTATGTTTGTTCCTTTGTGGCACACTAGAGACCAAACGCCTGAACCGATTTTGATGATTCATACATCAATCGATTCGTCTCAATCATGGGAGTGCTACTAAAGATATGATAGTAATCAAAATTCAATATGGGCAAAATAAGGCGCCATATTGTGACGAAGTAAAAAAAATAAGTTGACAAAATATGTCGAGTGGGGTATCACTGTCTAGATAATCAAAAATCATATTTAGGTTTCTAATACCATTTTTCATTTTATATTATTGTTTAGGATCTACAACGCTTTAAAGTTGTATATTAACCACTTCCACTTTTAATTTCAATCTTACGTTTGTATGGATTTTTGTTACTCTTTCACCTAAAAAATACTGAATGGATTTTATTGAAACTTAACAGTAATATAGCTCATATATGATAATTACATATATATAATAATTTATGTAGTTATTGAGTGAATTGGCCAATATATAGCAATAAGTGTCACATAAGACGGAAAAAAATGTCCCATCTGTGAGCCATTTTGGCCTGCACTGCAAAAACAATAAAAGTTACATGAATGTAATGTAGAGTAAAAATGTATCTCTTAAATAGTTCTAAAAAAAAGTCCGTGACACCATATATTTATTTTTAATGTGTAAGTCATTACCGCTAAAATAGTGAACAAAACTAAAATATTATTTGATATCTATTTCCCAAATGAACATTTGTATTACCAAATATTTTTTTATCAAAACAAACACTTTAATCGCTTTTGATATTTAAAGACGATAAACTTTGCTTTTTACACTATGTCATTTCGACGAATATTTAAAAAGTTACAACGATGACAAAGTGATAGCGCGGTGTACTATGTAAAAGATAAAAAAAAGGTAAATTTAAAAAATCAAAAAACCCGACTGCTTAATTATACTTTAAATTAAAACTGAAAAGAAAAAAAACAAGTCCAGTAGTCTACAATTCTGGTAATAAGAAAAAAGCTACTTTAACAGTCGGGACCCATTAGATATTCAAGAATACATAATATTTTTCAATAATGGGTCCCGACTGTTAAAGTAGCTTTGTTCCTTATTACCAGAATTATAGACTACTGGACTTGTTTTTTTTCTTTTCAGTTTTAATTTAAAGTATAATTAAGCAGTCGGGTTTTTTGATTTTTTAAATTTACCTTTTTTATTTCACACTTTTTAGTTACCTAGTTAGATCTTAAGACGGTAAATACCGTAGTCTTGTTACTTCAGGAAGGGAATTAATATCGCAGGAATTATTAAGTAACTTGCGGTGGTCTAAAAGATTGATTTATTAAGACATATAGAGACTTTACCAGCGGGGTCAAGGCTACAGATGGGCCTTTTTCTGCCCTTTTTCATAAAAATGTGTGAAGTTAAATCAAGTCGTTACATAAATATTTAATGTATGTAATTTTTTTAGAAAACTAGCCCTTATTCAAAAAGTCATCTTTTGTTTATGTTCTTTCTAGTAGTTTAGCAGTAAATATAAAATTCATTTACTTTTATTCGTCGACTATTTAAAATTGGCAGTGGCTGCATTGTCATGTCAACGCCGGACGTCTAAGATTGTGATATACACAAATGCAGTGTCATATCCTAGTCTCATAATTTGATATACCTACATAATTCACAGAAACCCAATATGTAGATGCCAGAAGTTAACTTCAAATGTTGTTAATCACCCTATATACAATACCAATCAATGACGTTTATGTCGCAGGTTGAAGAGAGTAGTAATTCCCGTCTGTTGTTTTGGATAATGGTGGCAACTGCCTTAGATCGCTAAATTAAATAATTATGCAATCACCAAAGCAAAGTTTATAATATTTAAAAACTAAAGACGCATAATAAAATTTTGATAACGTTAGGTAGAGCGCCATAGCAATCTCATTTATTATCAATTTATTTTGTAGTTTTCTTTTAAAGCGTTCACATATTATAACAGGTCAAAGACTTTGTGATCGACCCTTTTTTATTGTTGGTAGTGAAAGCTCAAATGAAGAGTACTTCCACATATCAAGCGTGCTGCTACCAGCCTAGTAGGTATTGCAAATAGTGCAATCATAGCAATTAATTTCCATTTTTTTTTGTGTAATAAAAATACCGAATATCGTATCACTGTTAAGCACAAATGCTAAGTAACTTTTACAAAATATAATATAATATAATCAGATAACCCTATTACTTACTTTATTTTTAAATCTTTTTCATCAATTAAATACTATTATCCTAACTATATATACTAATATTATAAAGAGGCAAGATTTGTATGTTTGTAACAAATAATCTGTCAAACTACTAAACCGGTTTCAAATATTAATTCAACATATAAGGTAGCTACATTATTTATTATAACATTTTTTTTATTTAAATACATTTTGTCCGAGTGACATAGGCTATATTTTATCCCAATAAATAAATTTCGCCTGTACAATGCTCGGGTGGATCACTAGTAAGTATAATATAATATTATAGATGCGAAAGTCAGTTTGTTTGTTGGGCTTCCGTGCCCTAATAGCTAAACCATATAGAAGTAGATGGGAACTTGGTTCTTAGCTACAACATCGCAATACTTATAGGCGTAGGGTGATGAAAGGGGTGATTTACCTATAAAAATCTACATTATTTACTTTGAATTTTGCAGAATTATTACAAAACCAATATTATAATATATATATATATATATAAAATACAATAATCATAAATACCTATTATGATAATATATTTTTCATCATTTAATAAGAAGGAACTGTATCACAGTTTTATTGTTAGTACTTCGTATAGGATCAGATACTGCGAATAGCCCATTTTTTTTCTTTTACATAGTACACCGCGCTATCACTTTGTCGTCGTTGTAACTTTTTAAATATTTGTCGAAATGATATAGTGTAAGAAGCAAAGTTTATCGTCTTTAAATATCAAAAGCGATAAAAGTATTTGTTTTGATAAAAAAAGATTTGTTAATACAAAATGTGCATTTTGGAAATAGATATCAAATAATATTTTAGTTTTGATTCACTATTTTAGCGGTAATGACTTACACATTAAAAATAGATATATGGTGTCACGGACTTTTTTTTAGAACTATTTCAGAGATACATTTTCACTCTATATTACATTCATGTAACTTTTATTGTTATTGCAGTGCAGGCCAAAATGGCTCGCAGATGGGATATTTTTTTCCGTCTTATGTGACACTTATTGTTATATATTGCCCAATTCACTCGATAACTACATAAATTATTATATATATGTAATTATCATATATGAGCTATATTACTGTTAAGTTTCATCAAAATCCATTCAGTATTTTTCAAGGTGAAAGAGTTACAAAGATCCATACAAAGGTAAGATTGAAATTAAAAGCGTAAGTGGTTAATATACAACTTTAAAGCGTTGTAGATCCTAAACAATCATATAAAATGAAAAATGGTGTTAGGAACCTAAATATGATTTTTGATTATCTAGACAGTGATACCCCACTCGACATATTTTGTCAACTTATTTTTTTTACTTCGTCACAATATGGCGCCCA